GGGATCTTGGGCACGCACGCACACGCGCCCAGCATGAGTTTTAAGCCACTGGGTCCGGGACACGAACCGCGGTCGACTACGTGGGAGTCCAGCGACATAGCCATTACTCTAACTGCTGGTTCCTGCGCCCGGCATGAGTTTTAAGCCATCGTGTCTGGGACGCGAATCGTGGTCGACTACATGGGAGTCCAGCGACATGGCCATTACGCTAACTGCTGGTCCCTTCACTCTCATTTCTTTCTCTTCCCTCACACATCTGTCAAAGAGATCAAACAGTTTAGTGCCCAGGTTGGCTTCTTTAAAACTTGCAGGTGAAACTGTCATCTATACTTTTCTTCCGATTGAGTCCACTTCTTTTCTTTCGAGTCAAGATTCCATTCCCGTTTTTTTCTTTTCTTTTCTTTTTTTTTTTTAAAATACTGAATATTTATTTATGTATTTATTTGTTGGGATTTTTCAAGCTGCCTGGTCTTGGACTTGAACCACCGTTGACCATGTGGGAATCCATCATCTTAACCACCACGTCACCTGCTGGCTTATCATTTTTTTCTCTTACTGTATGTCTAGACTTCATTAAATGAAAGAGTATTTATGAGTTGCTGAGCACATAATAAGTGCTTAGTACATAAGAGCCATTACTGTGTTCTAAGAATTAGGTTGTTGTGAGTTCTTTATTCAGGGGTCATTAGTTATTAAAAGGCGGTTTCCTTTTCTTTTTTCTTTTTTTGGAGAGGTTTTTGCTATAGGACACGTGTGCTCGCCAGAAAGACAGAGAGACAGAGAGATAGAAAGCGAGATATCACCCTCCAGGGAGGATGGCCATGCTGCAATCCCTTCTCCTCCCTTCTCCTCTCGGGATCTTGGGCACACACGCACACACACCCAGCATGAGTTTAAGTCACCAGGTCCGGGACTTGAACTGTAGTTGGTTACATGGGAGTTCAGTAGCACAGCCATTATGCTAACTGTTGGTCCCAAGGCAGTTTCCATTTTCTGAGGTGGGAGAGTTGACAAAACTTGTTTCTTGTTTGATATAGTAGAAGAATAGGCCAGAAGACGATTTAGCGGTTATTCCGCTGGACTCCCACATTGCTAACTACAGTTTGACTCTCAGACCCAATGGCTTGAAAATCATGCCTGGCATGTGTGCATGCATGGCCAAGATCCTGAGAAGAGAATGGAAAAGGGAATGCAGTGTGGCCATCCCCTCCTGGGAGGCCACTATCTCTCACTATCTCTCTCTGGAGCAAGCATGCCCTAAGGCAAAAACCTCTTTAAAAAAAAAAAGTACAGGTGTCAGCACTCTGGAAAAGAGTTTCCATGGGATGAGCTTGAGGCCATGAGAAAGTCACCTACGCCTTCACTACCATGTGCCAGAGAGGGAGGCAGTTGCTATATACTTTCTTGTATGTTGTTTAGAAGTAGCAAGTAAAAGGTTGGGATCAGGTGCAAATACTAACTGGCAGTTCTTTTGGCCCAAGACATGTGAATAAATGTCATTTCATATGTTTTTGTCCCTTTTCTTTCCACAGGTTTTCATAGTTGATCCTACACATGAGACCACAGCAGAGTTAATTAACACGGCGGAGATGTTCCTCAGCAATCATATACCGTTAAGGTAACAGTGGTATTGATTTGTTGAGGAAGCTCATGTAGCCGAGGTTTGATTTGCCATTCTTAAATGCAAGTCTGATGCTATCGAATTGCAGGATAATTAATTGTGGGCATCATTAATGACACTTTTATCTTGTGTTTGGAATGAAGCCAGCATCATTTGAGACTGAGAATTTTATTTTAAATTAATAGAAACTGACCATCATTGAATTATTAATAAATAGTCTGTGAAAAAATAGTTTGTACTCTCTATTTGCATCCCAGTGGAGGGGAATTTTCCTAGGTGAGTATTTACATCACAGAGCCTATTTCCAACTTTAGCAGGGATAGAGAGCTTTGCCAATATTTTTGTGATACTGTCAAGAACTCACTGTGTATGTTTATAGATGCAGATAGACACGCTACTTGACTTGTGTTGCCAGATCTGCCAGCTGGGCACCAGGTGGCTGGATTTCTACCATTCTTTAGAAGAATAGGTTTTTTTTTTTTTTTTTAATGTTTACATCTAAGTGTTAAGATATTTTCAGTTTGGGCCAGCCAGGTGGTATAGTGGTTCAGGTGACTGGATCCCACATGGCCAACAGCATCATTCAAGTCCTGAGCCTGGTAGTTGAAAAACACATTGGGCCCATGTGCATGCATGCCCAAAATCCCAAGAGGAGAATAGAGGAGAAGGGATTGCACCATGGTCGCCCCCTCAGGGGTGCTTATCATTATCTGTTTGTCTCCCCTTTTCTCCCTCTCTTGTTCCCTCCCTCCCTCCCTGGAAAGCACACATACCCTAGAGCAAAATTTAAAAAACAACACTTTTTAGTTATAGTCTAAGTAAATCTGCTAGTTTTGCATTTTCATGAAATTTAGATTCTTAGAAAACAGGTAAATAAAGAACAGAATTCTTTAGCTGACAAATCATACTGTGTGTTTCTTGCGCAGCACTGAGTTACATGTTATGGATATTATAAGCCATATTCCTACCTTCTTTGAAGTAATCTTTATACTTTCAAGCACTTTAAGGAGATATTTGATTGCTAGATTATACCCTACTAGTTATAAGTGTTTTAGAATTTCACAGAAACCAAAAAAAATCATGTACTAAGACATTTCGGAAGCACCACAGTTTCATGGAGAAGTTGGATCAAACAGGCTTTGAAGAAAAGAGACAGTTTTGATTGCTGAGATTTTGAGTTCAGTGGATTTGTATCGTATAAAACATGAATACTGCCTGGTTAGATGGGGGAATAAATTACTAGATTACAGCCACTATGTTTTGATTAAAAGAAAAATACAAGAGCACAAAAGTTGTTGTTCCTGGTGTACGGTAGGCACTTATTAAATATTGATTGTACTGAGGGACAAGAGGAGGGAGTGTAGTCTTCAAATTACAGATGGGGGTGAGATGGTGGCACTGGAACTTCTAGGCAGCCATGAGACATACTGTGAGGGGTGGGTGGAGGGACCCAGGCAGATAAGTGGGCCTTTTATTAAAAAAAAAATTATTTATTCATTTTATTTTAATTTGACCAGAGAGAGAGAGAGGGAGGGAGAAAGCAAGCCACCATGTCCAGGACTGAAACCATAGTCAGCCACGTGGGAGTATCCACGCCTTAACCACCACATCACTGCACTGAGGTGATGATGGCTGTGGAGAGGCAAGCACAGGTCTACAGGGCTCCCCTGTCGACCTCGATGAGACACTGGACCTGGGAAAAACAGAAGGCTGAAGTTTCTGGCTTAGCTTGCAGAAAGTCTTTGCCCTTCCTAGAAATTAGAAACTTGGAGGGGGGAATTAGTGTGTGAGTTGATTGTAATGTTCTGATGATCTAATTAGAGTTAAGTTTCTAGTTGGCTTGCATAGGACTATTTAGGTCATAGTTTACTCATACAATTTTTATCATAAGTGGAATTTTAAAAGACAGACAATTTGATCTAAAAAAAAAAAATGAACCCTCTTCCCACCCCCATCTACATATACCTACACTTTATACACGCCTCCTAGAGCTAACTAGTGTTAGTAATTTGATGTTTTATATATGTTTATTTTTCCTGTTTTATTTATTTATTTTTTTTTAACTTGCCTGAGAGTGTGTTTGCTCTCAGAGAGGGAGCAGCAGAGAGAGGGAAAGGAAGAAAGCACCCCTCTACCCAGTGGGACATCGTCACACCACAGTCTCTTCTTTTTCATTTCTCCATCCTGTTGGGATTTGGGGGCACATGTGCTTAGAACGCTTTTTAAGCTGCTGAGTCTAAGATTTGAACCATGGGTTGGCCATCTGGAATCTAGCTCCCTGATGGGGTCGGTCCTGTACTTCATTTGATTTTAGTCTATAACCCCCTCTTTTTATGTTAATAAAAAGAGACTGTATGTTTTAGAGCCGTGTCGATTAATCAAATAGTATTAACTTAACATATATTGATTTATTATTCACTTAGTTCTATAGCTTCTATTAAGATTTGTGGTCACACACGCAATGGATTTTGTTAAGAGTATAGTGTAAAATATTCACATTACAGTATTAATCAGGTTAGTTTCACTACCCTGAAAGTCTCCTGTGTTCCCTATTTGTCCTTTCCTCCATTTTCCAAATCTCTGGCAACCCCTGGTCTTTTCTTTTTTTTAGAGAATTACTTAATTTTATTTATTATTATTATTATTATTAGTTTTTAATTTGTATAGGGCATATGCATTCATGAGACTAAGAAAGAGATAGAGAGTGAGAGAGAGAAAAAGCCGCCAGTTCTGGGACTGAAACCATGGTCAGTCATATAGGAGTCCAATGCCTTAACCACCATGCTACCTGCTGGCCCCTACCATCGATCTTTGTTTTTAAGAAGTTTTTGCCATAGGGTGTGTGTGCTCATCAGATAGAGAGAGAGAGAGAGAAAGAGAGAGAGAGAGAGACAGAGACAGAGAAAGTGAGAGGGAAAGTGAGACATCAGCCCCTACGGGGAATAGCCATGTTGCAAGCCCTTCTCCTCTATTCTTCTCCCTGGATCCTGAGCACGCATGCATGCACACATGCACACACCTGCTTCCAACATGAGTTTGATGCCACTGGATTTGGGACTTGAACTGAGTTGGCCATTTGAGAGTCCAGCGACGTAACCATTATGCCATCTGCTGGCCCCACCACTGATCTTTTTAATGGCCTCATTGTTTTGCCTTTTTCAGAGTGTTATATAGTTGTAATCATACAGGAGGTAGCCATTTTAGATTGGCTTCTTTCACTTAGTAATATGCATACAAAGTCCCTTCATGGCTTAATAACTCACTTTTTTTTTTAATCACTGTATCCATGTATAGGTATACTACGTTTTGTTTATTCATTTACCTGTTGAATGGTACCTTAGTGGTTTATGTGGCTTGGCAGTTATGAGGAAAGCTGCTATAAACATTAGTATGTAGGGTTTTTGTGGATGTAAGGTTTAACTCCTTTGGGTAAATACAAATGAACCCAGATGTTGGATCATGATAAGAATATGTTTTATTCTGTAAGAAACTGCCTAACTGTCTTCCAATGTGGCTCTGCCATTTTGCATTACCACTAGCAATGATGAATGTTCTTGTTCCATAGCCTTGCCAGCTTTGGGTGTTGTCAGTGTTTTGGATTTTGGCCATTTATCATTTTGGCCATTTATTGTATGCTTATTTATCATCTGTATGTCTTATTTCAAAAAGTGTTTATTCACTTTTTTGGTCCACTTTTTAATTTTGTTGTGTTTTCTCTTCTTTCCTTCCTTCCTTTTTGCCAGAGGGCACGTGTACTCACCAGAGAGAGAGAGAAAGAAGAAAAGGGAGAAAGCACCTCCTGATGGGGTGTGGTCACACCACAATCTCTTCTTCAGTTCTGGGATTTGGGATGCACACTCACACACTTGCACCCAGAATTTTTCATGGTGCTGAGGTCAGGGTTTGAACTGTAGTAGGCCATGTGGGATGGGCTCCTTTAACCACTGGGCAATAGGGCTGGCCCTTGGTATTTATTTATTTATTTTTTCGTTAAGTTTCATTTTTATTTTGCCAGAGAGTACACACACTTGCCAAATAGGCAGAGAGAGAGTAAGTGGGAGAAAACTTCTGATGGGACACGGTTATACACCAGTTCCTTCTCCATCATTTTTCCCTCCTCTCAGTATTTTGGGCATGCCCACACACATGCCTGGCATGTTTTTCAAGCCTCTGAATTTGAGATTCGAACCATGTAGTTAGCCATGTGGGATTTGGTTGTGTTAATCTCTAGACCATAGGCCAGCCTGTTAAAGTTTTTAAGTTTTTTTTCGTTCACGATAATTGAGAGACAGAGCAATAAGCCTCTCCTGGCAAGGTCTCATGCTGCAGGTTCCCCCAATCTTCCCAGCAAATCAGGATCACAGGCTTGTGGTTTCTGCATATACAATCAGCCAGGAAACGGAACCTGTGATCTTCCATAGATTCAGCATTGCTTGTTGTGCACATTGTTGTTGTGCCAGCAAGCTGGCCCTTATTATTGAGCGTTAAAGAGTTCTTTGTAAGTGGGTCTCAATCATTTATCAGATGTGTGTTTTGCAGAGATTTTCTACCAGTCTGTGGCTTCTTTTTTTATTTTGTTATCAGTGTTGTTTATAGAGCAGAAATAATTAATTTTAGTGAAGTACAACTTTTAAATTTTTTTTTTTTTGAGAGGTTTTTGCTATAGGGCACGTGCGCTTGCCAGCAGACAGAGAGAGACATAGAGACAGAAAGCGAGAAATCACCCCCCGGGGGGATGGTCACGCTGCAATCCCTTCTCCTCCATTATCCTCTCGGGATCTTGGGCACGCATGCACACGTGCCTGGCCTATGCAGGTCTTTTTGCCAACCACTCTATAGACACACAGTGTATGTCTTTGTGATTGATTACTTTATTTAAATTTTAAAATTTAATAAAATTTTATCTTGGTTATAACTTTTTTTTTTTTTTTTTTTTTTTTTTTTGCTGTAGGATGTCTTTTTCTGCTTTCTTGTTGCCTATAATCCCATATTGCCTGTGCTAAATCTGTCCTCCCCATTCTGTTTTAGAGTCTGAACATTTTCCTTTCCCCTAATTTTTATTTAAAAGCAGAATGAAATCTCACTCACATACTGTAGCAGCATTCTTTATGGCAGTGAAGAAATCTTTCCATGATGTAGAAGTAGCTTGCTGTTTGTTTCCTGTGTCTTGATTTTGTACATCTTTGCCAGCCATGTTGAGTAGGATGTGGACTGTGCTTGTCACTTAAGAGCAGTTTTCTTCTGCTAACTACAGTATATGATGAGGGGAATGCAAGGATGCTGTTCCTTGTAATCACTTGCATTCTTTGAGATGTTTTCTTTTTCTTCTTTCCCCTCCTCCTCCAGAATTGGTTTTATCTTTGTGGTTAATGACTCTGAAGACATTGATGGGATGCAAGATGCTGGAGTGGCGGTTTTAAGAGCGTATAATTATGTTGGCCAAGAAGTGGATGATTATCATGCCTTCCAAACTCTGATACATGTATGTTTTGTTCAAATTGGCAATTGAAAAAAAAAATACTTCATTCTAAAAAACAGTATATGGTTAGATGATTTGAATTTATGTAAAGGAAAAAAGTAAGGTACATTATTCACACAAGCTTTATGTATTTTATATTTTAGGTGGGCCTTTACTTTGTTGATTCATTAGTGTTAATAATAGATTGCTATGATCTCAGCCGAGACAGGCAATATTAGTGTATCTTACTGTTCTGCCTTTTGCTTATTTAAGATCACTGCTTAATGCCTTTGGCAAATGTGATGTTGTCTACTTGTCTAAAAAAATGTTTACATATTCCCCCATTTTGATTTATGATTTAGTTTAGTATTCACATCATAAAATTCTTAATAATGGTCTGGTTTTTCCATTTTTGCTGAAAACTCTGAAATGCCCCAGTTCATGTTTATGTTTAAGGCATTTCCTTGCTCAAGTTCAAAGAATTCTTTTTTTTTTTTTGGAGGGGTTTTCACTATAGGGTGCGTGTGCTCACCCGAAAGACAGAGAGAAAGATAGAAAGCGAGAAATCACCCCCCAGGGGGGATGGCCACGCCGCAATCCCTTCTCCATTCTCCTCTTGGGATCTTGGGCACGCACACACGCCCGGCGTGAGTTTAAGCCGCCGGGTCTGAGACTTGAACTGCGGTCGACTACATAGGAGTCCAGTGACATAGCCATTACGCTAATTGCTGGTCCCAAGTGCAAAGAATTCTTTTTGAGTTTAAATAACTTATAGTAACAATTATTTTGTTTACAGGATAGTCACTTCCAAAAGGCTATGTTTAAGATGATTTTTACCTCTTTTACCTCTAAACATGATGTTAGTCTGTTGTTACTAATTTTTCTTTATTTTTTAGAGATTCATTCACGTCACTTTTTTTGTTAGAATGTTCATTTATTTATTTGGTTGACATTCATTGAAAGCCTGCCATGTCTCAGGCATTGCACTAGACTTGGGGATACAATGAAGAGTAAAACTTCTTCACTCTATCCTAAAAGACCTCATAGTCTTGGGGTGACATGTACAACTTGTTGTCATTGTACCATGTGGAGAACACAAATGGCTGTGGTGACAGAAGGACCTCACCCTCCCTGGGGAATTTTGCTGACTGGGAAGTTGACTCAGCTATGTCTAAAGGAAAGTAGAAGTCAGTGGGGCTTGCCTGCAAATCCGGAGTGATTCTCAGTTGTTGGTGTGGCTTGGCAGAGGATGGTGAGCAAAGTGGAAAGGGGGTAGCCTCATCTACAAGGACAAGATAGGCCAGGCAGATAGGTATTCATTGTGCAGGGATCATATATAAATTAAAGAAAAAATTTTTTAAATCTCCTCAGTGTGTAGAGATGAATCTGAGGAAGGGTAGGTAAAGTGGAAGATGCCAGGCCTGTAGCCTAGCAGTTAAGGGAGGCCAGAGCTGACAAGGCCAACTGCAATTGGAATCTCAGCCTGGGAGGCTTGCAGAACATGCCAGTGCATGTGCTTGCATCCCCAAATTCTGATAGGGTGGAGAGATACAAGAGAAAGTTTGCCATGTGACCACACCCCACTAGGATGCTTTCTCCCTCTTTCTTTCTCTTTCTCTGGCTAGTGCATGCTCCCTCACTCCATGCTAGTGTATGGAGATCACAGCAACACCTCAGTAACTAGAAAGTGGCAGGGGTTCTAGTTACTGAGGTGTTGCTATGATCTGCATGAGAAATGGTAGGAGAATTAGCACCAGGGCTATGGAGGGTGAAATAGCATGGAAGAGTTCATTCTAACTCATAGATAGTTCAGTGTTTGCTTTTTAAAGCTGTAGGCATAGAAATAAAGATGTGTATGGAAGAAAGGATAATATGAGTTTTCATTTCTTTTTATTTTTTATTGTGAAAGTGATATATTTTCACTTTAAAAAGTTCAGACAATATTAGTATAAATTTAAAATTTCTCTCTCATCCCTTTATTCCCTTATCCTTTTTAAAAGTACGTACCATTTAAAAAAATAGTATGTGCCTTGTATTCATCCAGAGTTTTTTCTTCTTGGGTTTTTGCCATAGGATGTGTGTACTTTCTGGAGAAAGAGAGAGACAGTGATAGGGAAAGTAAAAAATTACCCTCCGGTGGGGGGATGGCCATGCCACAGTCTCTTCACCATTCTCCTCCTGCAGTTTCGGGCACATATGCACAACGCGTCTGGCGTGGTCCAGGACCATGGTCTACCACCAGGTCTGGGACTCAACCAAGTGGGAGTCTAGCTGCCTTAACCACCATGTCACTTGCTGGCTCTCATCCAGTTACATCTGTAACTGTACATATTCAGGTATAGTTTTGTTACTATATCTGATTTTAGGTCTGATTTTTTAAAAATAATTATTTAAATTTATTTATTTAATTTATTTTTTAATTTGACCAGAGAAGGGGAAAGAGAGAGAGAGAGATAGAGAGAGAGAAAGTGAGAAAGCAAGCCACCAGGTTGACGGCCCGAACCATGGTTGGCCATGTGGGAGTCTAGCACCCTTAACCACAATGCCACCTGCCAGCCCCTTAATAATGTTAATTTTTGCTTTGCTTTGCTTTGCTCTTTGTTTGTTTGTTTGTTTGTTTGTTTCTTTCTTTCTTTCTT